GGGAGAGGGAGAGGGAGAAAGAGAAAGAGAGTGAGCTCCGTGCTCATGGGAGCTGCCGAATGGATGGGCGGCATAAAGCAGGGATCATGCAGCGCGGCATGGGCAACGAGATGGCAGCAAAGAGGGCATCAAAACAGTTATTGGTCATGGAAATGTGAGGCAGCAGTGTGAGTGGTCTCGCCTGAGAGCAAGAGGCTATTGGGAGAGCAAGACGGGAGCACGAGACAAAGGGAAAACAAAATCTGGTGGTGGTATGCAGGTAATCCCCGAACCTGGTATTTCTTGCCCCCGCCCTCCCTCCCCTCTTTTTTTTTTAATCCCCTTTTTCCCCTTTTTGTGTCATCCTTGCGCAGGGGCCATTCTTATCTTCTCTGCATTGTTCCAATTTTAATGGATGCCGCGAAGGACCCCCGGCCCTAGTATCTGTCTCTTATACACATCTAGATGTGTATAAGAGACAGGTGTGTGTGTGTGTGTGTGTGTGTGTCTGTCGTTGTCTGTCTCGCACTCTCTCTCACACCCACACCCAGACACACGCACACACACACACAGCCTTGCGAAGCTCTCTATTCAGGCGGATCAATGCGGCTAGGGTTGGGATGGTCCTAGCAGTCATGCCAGTGGGTATTGATGGCTGATCGTGTTTCTGTGACAGACTAGTTTCTCAGACGTTCGCAGACTTACTGCCATTCTTATCAGGGGTTTGAACCGGCACTCTCCTGGGATTGCATGGTTGGTGTGAGTAAAGTCGACCACTTTTCTCAGGGGTATCGCCAACTCTGGGCAACATGCTGAGTCCTTATCCACCAGTCAAATGTATCCGGGCCAGACTGATGGGGTTCACCCTGAGTTGGTGAAAGTCGACGAAATAGTCTGGCAAAGTCATGCTTTTTTCTGCGGCCTTGTGTACAGCGAACATGACAAACAACGTCCTGATGAGTTGGTGAAAGTTCGACAAAAGAGTCTTGCATAGTCAAGCTTTTTTTTTGTGGAGGTGTATAGCAAACATGGCAACTCACACATGCACGAGGAGGTGTGCGAGATGGTGCAGGAGTGCTGTGTGGCACCACAGCATGAATTTCCTTGTGCCACACGGCGCTGTGCAGCTTGATTTTTCTAATGCCCTGGGCCATTCTTTTCTTAATGCTGCCTTGCGCTGTGCAGTGCTAGCTTTCGTGGACTGCACTGCAGCCCGAAAAAAGTGTTGCCACATGACCCCATTCGTTTGGGTGTGTGGCATGCAGAACAGTATGGTCTTTTGTGGGCCTCGTGGCAGCCTGCCGCCAATAAAAGCAATCTGCACGGTGTGGCATGCTACACTGCCCAGTGTATGTTTTGGGCCACACAACACTCGTTTTGGGCGCGCGGTGCGTGACGTGACATCGGGCTGCCTGCACCACCACCTCCCCCCTCGCCCCCCGGTTTCCCTCGCTGAGCCCTCCGAGTCTCTCTGGGGTCTTGCGGGACAGCGTCACATGAGACCCACTTGACCTGGTTTTTCCTTTGATGAGGTAGCAGAAGCAGATATCATCCAGGGTTTGAAATCTTGATCTGTTCATCAATACCTATGCGTGTAAGCCGGGATATTTTGTTGGTGAACACCTGGGCAAGCCATTCAGGATCTCCTGGATGGTTCAGCCTGTGTGTTGGATAGCTGGAGGGCTGAACAAGTAAGATAGAGGGCAGACCGTGTTCTATTGATGGATGGCTGAATATGCTATTACTATAACCACCAGGGTTTGAGCTCTTGATCTGTTCCACCTGGGATGTTTTGTTGTTGAACGCTTGTCCAAGCTATGCAGGCAGGATCTCTTGGACAGTTCAGCTTGTGTGTTGGATAGATGAAGGTCCAAAGTTCTCCACACACACACCCACGCACACAAACACACACACACACACACACACACACACACACACACACACACACACACACACTCACACACAAACACACACACACACACACACACACACACACACACACACACACACTGTTGCATACTCGTGAAACACAGTCATAAGTATGGCGCAGATTCCCAGAACTGACCAGATAATACAGAGTAGATACAAATGCAGCGGAAGTCTTGATACACATGGACCGACTCGAAACCTGACTCAGACTGCAACGAATCTCTCACAATCATGCATCGGTGGTGTGAAAGCCCTGGCCTTGAACATGGAAGAAGAGGCCAGGGGCTGAYCTCATACACGGATGAATGGGGGGGAGGAGAGACGGAGGGAGGAGGAGAGACGGAGGGAGGAGGAGAGGGAAGATGACGTCAACTCAATGTTTCCAAAAATAGTATCTGGAAATGTCAGAAGTAACGAAAATCCGAAATGTCGCGAATACAGAGTCTCGCAGTGTCTCAGATATCGACCTCACAATGTCAAGATACATCCTCAGAGGTAGATGAAGTCAGATCCCAAAGTAGTCCTCAACCTGCAGTCTCAATGTCGCTATCTCTAGTATCATCAGAACTCGTAAACATCCTTCACAGTCGTAGTAGTCCAGTGGGGGTAGCCCAGAAGTAGACTTAGACTTCGAGGGTAGGAGGAGAGGGAGGGAGAGAGAGAGAGGGTGGAGGAGGAAGAAGAGGGAGGAAAGGCAAGGCCTTTCTCCCTGATACCTGCGCGAGGCAGCTATGGCGCTGCAGGGCTGGCGCTG